CATAACATTATACGTATATATATATATATATATATTATTTTTATTATATTGACCTTTCAGCTGTGCCTGTCTAACAATACAGAAGTTACAATGATGAGGCGCACGTGCACTCGTGTTACCATATCCAATAATATAAAACTCACCTTTAGTCTTTACAGTCTTGGCTGTGTTTTATTGGACTAGCATTTAGTAAAATACAGTCACATTTCAATTATTATACAATATATGTGTATTTACATCATTACTATTTACAAATAAGTTCTTAAACTTATTTTTCTTAAAACATAGAACAGTAAATAAAGAAGTAAAGCAATCAATTATCTTTTCTAGTTATGACCTTTGAACTCGTTTGCTGCTTGACATAGGTTGCTAAGCCTTTAAAAATTTCGAATGGGGAGGACGAGAAACAAAATAATATTTTTTAGGTTATATATATTTACATTGAAAATAACCAAAAATTTTAAATTACTGTATCGATACCACAGACTTCCACTATAATTTATCAAGCTTAGTAACTAAGCTGTATTTGGGTCTAAAAAATATAAAATTTTGAGTAGACTAAAGACTCAACTTACCACCTTGAAGTTTTATATTGAAAGAATGAGATGACATCATACTACTTGAAAGTGGCTGAGAAATCCACTAGGGGGACATTCTGAGCTTTGGATTGGTTATTCACATGTCATAGCCAGAAGTAAGTGTATATAAGGCAGTGTTTCCAAAAATGGAAAGAGGTTAGGAGAGCCATTGTGTTTGATTCAGTACATAAGCGATATCTCAGCAAATAGAAAAAATAGGAGGTTCTTATTTTATATTCTAGCTTGTCAATATCAGTAAATTTATATCCTAATTTGTTCAAAACTATAGACTTTGTATTGTATTTTGATATCACAAACATTTAATTTGAACCGGTGCTGAATTCAACATATGTGACACAAAAAAATTATATTTAGGTGTGTTTTTTTAATATTTACTTTTAAATTAAGAAATTAACCAATGTGTAATACTAAAATTTGAATTATAATCTACAGTTTGGTACCAAACTTATTGACATAAATTCATAAAATAGTAGTTCAATAAAATCTTGGATGCAAGTCATGGCCTTTGACCTGTGACCCATGTAGAAAGGGTTAAAAATGTATAAACTAAATCTGTTGGCTTGAAATTAAAAGAATGTATTAACTGAATATCTTGCTCTTTTTTTTTTCAGTTCCTCCTCAACTCGAGGAGACATCACAAACAGAAAAGGGTGCAGATACTCTTAACAAGGAGGAAGTTTTGGAGAATCTCCCTTTCAGTCTTGTGTGTCCTGTCTCTGGAACTCCACCACCACATATTATCTGGCTAAAAGATGGAAGGGTTGTGTCTGCAGAGACTCATCCTGGATTGTCTTTTTTTGACAACAGAAGAAAGCTGCAGATTGATCATGCTCAGAAAGAGGATGCTGGAGAGTATGTATGTGTAGCCAGGAATGAAGTGGGTGAGATTAGGAAGAAGTTCGATTTGGATGTTCTGGGTGAGAAGAATCCTAATTTTCTTCACCAATTTTACTGTTTTTTAATTGGAAAGTTTCAAACTTTGTCAGGTATCCTCAATTCCATCAGAAGACCAAACGGTCTCGACAGTGATACAAAGTTATAGCTGTAAAAAACATTCAAACAAACTGATAATTTCTTTCTGTAT